GGGGCTCGAAGGGGGGCGACCTCGGAACATCACTTGCAACACAACAGAATTGACATCGTGATATCTGTAGTAGGAATTACTTCGAATTCATACAATGTGGCAAGGTTTAGTAATGAGAAGTATATTAGGATATAGCAGTCATGATTGAGGGTAGTGGGTTTACATCGACAGCTGTGAGAGATGGGCACTAGAATCGCTACGTCAGTACCTGATCTGAACCCTTCAGTAGTCAAACTTACATGCACTCTTCTTCTTCTTGGCTTGCTGACTCTCTCGTCTCCGAGTCTACAGTGTTGTCATTTGTCCACTCCAGTGCTTGTCGGTATTCATCTGCTCTGAGCTGCTGCAGCTTCATGTTTTCGGTGATGGGGGAGTGCAAGGTGGTGCTCATCTCGTACGAAGCCCAGTCAATATTGCTGACCTTCTTCGAAGAGTTGACGCTAAGCCCAGCAGGGTACGAGTTGAAACCACCGCCGCTACTCACCCACACTCGAAGTAATGCGGAGCAAAAGATCTCCGCGATCTCTACTTGTTCCCGTCGGTCGATGAGATAGACAATATACTGGTGCATTGTGAAGTGTTGTTCAAACATGCCGATGTTGTGGAGGTGGGTGGATATGTCCTCGACTAGGTTCATTATGTAGTTGGATGACTTCCGTTGGCGGTGCTCTTTTAGACGATTTTCTGAGTTTTCAGAATATCCACACTCCCCGAGAGGATATCGAAGGGGTGTATCGCGTAGTGATGCTGGCGTCTCCTGCCAACGTTTCTGGGTACCTTGACAGAAAAGTTCGAGGGTACCGACACGCTTCTTTGATCGACTGGAATGCGTCGTGTAGAGATACTTGCGGTGGCCTTTGGCAGAGTTTTGCTGGTTGATCAGCGGTCTTCCCGGGGAGACGTTGTCTATCTGCCAGAACTGCTCGGAAGCTTTGCCTTCTGCCAGATTATCGGCTATGTAGTCGGCTATCCAATTGGAGATGATAAGCATTTGATTAGGAGTAGGCGGGATACCATTCAGGTCTGCGAACTGGTGTATGTATATGGACGGCTGCTTTGCTGCATTCTTGCAGATGATGTCGTATTCTCGCTTCAAATCAGTATCAGTTCGCATGCGGTGCACCAAGTCGCCGTCGACTGCCGCTAGCAGCATAGGCGGTTCTGAAGCGAGTATTCGTGCGCATTCTCGTATATACTTCACACGGTCTGTTGCACTGATGGTAGTGCCATTCTTGTACTTAGGTATCTCTTCGTTGAGTACCTCAGAGATGACGGGCTCGTAGTGTTTCGAAAGGAGAAGACGCGCCTGTCTTGCTCGCCGATCATCGAGTGTCTCTGTTGCTGTCCCCATTCCGCCTTGTTCCTGGGGGACGTTGTCGTAGGTATAGTTTTTGTTTCTTGTGGTCACCATCGATGGGAATTTTGATGCTACTCGTTGGGCAGGAAAGCGTGTGCGAAACAAGGAGCGATATAAAGATTGGCGCGCGTTGAGCATCTGTCGTGAGAAATAGTTAAGGATCGGGTGTGCACCAGGAGTGGCATGTTGATCGCTGAGTTTTGCTGTCTTTAGAGTTTCACGTCTTGACATTGAAGTTGTCATAGCTCCAAGTGCACCTTCCATGCCTCGTGTCAGTACCGAAGGACGGCATTTCCGACTTGCAGAGTTGATGATGCTTTGGAAAGGGCGAAGTTGCATATTGAAGCTGGAAACACTATCGAGATGAAATTAGTTGCACACGAATAGAATCCATAGTTACCACTAGAGTATTTGTATGTCAATCTTGGATATCATGTTGCCGGATTCGCGTCCAAGCTCTGAATCTGCTTTGTGTTGTTTCCAAGGTCTGGTTTCGCAGTGCATTCCATGTCTCGACAAAGCGAGGCTGTGGCGTAACTGTCGTCATATAATTTCGAGACAACCACGATACTTTCATCACGCCCTTGGAATCCTCAAGCGTTAGGTGGCTTAGAGTCCGGGTTTGAGAGTCGTGTTGTGAAGGGATCAGGTCCCGACGCACGCCAATTGAAGCGTTTAGAGTCGCTGACAGCCATATGAATTGGAGGTTTGATTGAATCGCACGCGATCACGACTCAGGGGTGGGTGGCACAGCGTGTGATGTGGATGAGGGCGACAGGTGGGAAAGTTGAGGTGCCGTGTAGGTGTGGCGTCAGGGGTGTGGCTGGTGTAGCGCGTTTGAGTCAATGCCCCTCCAAAGTTATTGATAGAGCCCCTCCCGCAGCACACGAGCTCCGCAACATCGACACTTTTCTGGTAAGTTACGAACTCGACGCGTCTTCTTTCTGCTGTAAAGTCACGTGTACATCCCGCACAACGTACCTTCAACAACACGTGTACTGACGTCGCGCAGACATGGCGGAACCTACAGCTCCCGCCCCACCGGCCGCCGAGGAGGAGAAGGGCCCTTCGAAGCGTGCGCTCGAGAAGGCCGCGAAGAAAGCAGCGGCAAAGGCCAAGAAGGCAGAGCATGCCCTCCGACCCAAAGAGCAGGCAAAACCTACCACAAAGAGCGAGCCGACGAGCATCTTCTCTGAGGGCTGGCTGAAGCGCATCTACGAAGAGAAGCCCGTGTCAGAAGTCAGAACCCGATTCCCTCCCGAACCAAACGGCTTCCTCCACATCGGTCACGCCAAGGCCATCGCCGTCGACTTCGGCTTCGCAAAGCATCACAATGGCAAGTGCTACCTGCGATACGACGACACCAACCCGGAGAAGGAGGACGAGATCTACTTCACTGCTATCTTGGATATCGTCAAGTGGCTAGGCTTCGAGCCGTGGAAGATCACATACAGCAGCGACAACTTTGACAAGCTATACGAGCTTGCAGAGCAGCTTATCAAGAAGGACGGCGCCTATGTGTGCCACTGCTCACGTAAGTCTGCATAGCTATCGTCATGTGCGAGGTACTAACTCTGGCGCAGGCGAGGAGATCAACAACCAGCGCGGAGGACCCGACAACAGAGGCAAACGCTATGGCTGCGCACACCGCACGCGGCCGATCGAAGAGTCCCTCACCGAATTCCGGGCCATGCGCGACGGCAAATACCAGGCTGGAGAGGCTTTCTTGCGCATGAAGCAGAAGTTGACGGACCCGGATGAGGGCAATCCGCAGATGTGGGATCTGCCCGCCTACCGCGTTGTCAAGGAGAACCACCACCACCGAACTGGCGACAAGTGGAGAATCTACCCTACCTACGACTTCACCCACTGCATTTGCGATGCTCTCGAGGGAATTAGCCATTCGTTGTGTACAGTCGAGTTCCGCCAGTCGCGTATCTCGTACGACTGGCTGCTGGAGCAGTTGGACATGAAAGTGCCCAAGTCGGAGGAGAAGGGACCAATGCAGAGAGAGTAAGTGACGGTTTCTACCTGGAACTCACCCATGCTAATCTCCCGCAGGTTCGGACGTCTAAGCGTTGGCGGCACGATCCTCTCGAAGCGACGCATCCTCCAGCTCGTCGAAGGTACGACCGTCGAGAAGAAGAACGCGGACGGCACAGTCGAGACAAAGAAAATACCTGGCGTAGTACGAGGATGGGACGACCCCCGACTCTTCACCATGGTGGCTTTGCGCCGTCGCGGTATTCCAGCCAAGGCCATGCTCAACTTCGTCGACGAGCTCGGCGTCACAGATGCGCTTTCCGAAATCGAGCCTCCGCGTTTCGAAGCTTCAATTCGCAAACATCTTGAGCGAACCGTACCGCGCCAGATGATGGTGCTCGACCCTATCAAAGTAGTTATCGAAGACTTTGCGACCGAGGACGAACAAGAGATAACAGTACCCTACGATCCCAAAGGCACCATACCTGGTGAGCGCAAGGTGAAGATTGGTAGCGCCGTTTACATCGATCGCAGCGACTTTAGAGAGGAGGACAGTGACGATTACTTCCGCCTGGCGCCAGATAAGGCCGTGGGTCTATACAACGTCCCCTTCGCGATCCGTGCGACATCCTTCTCCAAGGACGAATACGGCAACGTGTCTGAGATCAAGGCTGTCAAGGTGCCAGGTACCGAGAAGCCCAAGGCCTACATTCAATGGGTGGACGTTGCTACAGCCGTCCCGGTCACAGCACGTCTGTACACCTCGCTCTTCAAGACCGAGTCACCCAACACACTAGACTGGAAGACAGGTGGCTGGGCTGACGATCTCAACCCCAACTCCGAAATCATTCACGACAAAGCAGTCATCGAGCGGGGTATCAAGGATCTCATCAGCGAGACTTCACTCGATCTGAGTGGATCGTCAGATGCTCTTGTGCGCTTCCAGGCGCTGCGCACTGCTTATTTCTGCGTTGATATCGATTCTACGGAAGACAAGATTGTGCTCAACCAGATTGTTAGTCTGAGAGAGGACAAGGGTAAATAGATTTGGAAATGACTCTCGGATAGGCTGTTGGCGTTGAAGGTGTGGCAATCAACTCGGGGTGGTAGAGGTGTTGTTATGTAGAGTAGAGATATCCCCGAAATGCAGCAGTCATGATTTCCGACGCGCTGTAGGGTTGCATGAATCATTCGCCCATGCGCGCCGCTACCAGAATACGAGTTTTGGCCCCCCGCGCTTCCCTCTCAGCCGCTTTACACATCGGCGGAAAGCCCGACGCTTATCGCATACGAGGCGCGCGTCGTGTGTTGCTGTTGTCCAATGGCACAGTACCTCGCATGTTGACCCCGCTGCCGTAATCAGCATAGGTCTTATATAAGCCAGCCAAGATGACTTCCCATACACTCGATACCACTTACGCGAGCTTATCTCCGGGCATAGGTCGCTGCTTCGGCCGATGAGGTGGCTTATGGTTGCACATGACGAGGTGTGGTAGTCGGAGGCCGAAGTACCACATTGAATATACAGGAGGTATATCGAACGCCCCAGCCACAGTCTCTAAATTTTGCCGCAAGCCATTATTTGTTGACTGCGTAGTTATAATTCTGGATTGCGGACGTACCCCTCACATCAGATCTATCGACAAGGCTCACGAAAATCATGGAGCGCGAGTACGAATTCTTTGTAACGACGGATAAGCCATATAACCCAGCTGGTGCGGAACGATGCATGATCCGGCGGCTGGTGATGCGCAATCACTTCGATATGAAGATGGCTGGACCGCAGATCAACCCGTCTCAACACTCTTCGATCAGCACGGCCATGGCGAAGAAGAAGCTAAAGAGCCGATTCCGGATATCCGAACCTCGGATCAAGAAAAAGAAGGCCAATACCGGAGAGATGGTAGATACACGGAGATCAAGAGAGAAGGGCGCAGCAAGGCCTAAAGATCTGAGAGACAGGTCGGGACCAACGACATCCTCGAAAGCTGGGGAAGACGGCAAAGACAAGAGAAAAGACACGGATGAAACACTAGAACCAAGGCCAGTTCTAAAGTGTGGCCTGAACTCTGGTCGGATGGATCCCTTCAAGGCTTCACTCTTACCTGGAACCCCAGATCTGGGTGCGCTATTCCAATTGTGTACGTAGAGTCGATACACGTTGTCCGACTACAAGGGCAAATTCTGAGGCGAAAGGCCCCATTGGCTGACACCAAAGACAGACAACAGGGCACCCAAGAGCAATGCCGTCGCCATCGATACCCAGAACACGTGGAACTCATTCATCTCGAATGATGCTGGCTTGCTGCACGCAACTCTGGCAAGCTGGGCACTATACGGCATCCTGGCCAATGAATTCACTGACTTGAGAGTGTGCAAACTCAAGCACAAGAATGAAGCAATCAAGATTGTCAATTGCAAACTTGCGACGTCTGGAGGCTACATATCGGATGAGGTGGTTGGCACTGTATTGACTTTGGCAAATCTCGAGGTATGAGCACGTCTTCCCGTGAAATGACCCATGCTAACGGTTCCAGAATCTTCTTGGAGACTATGAAGCGGCTCAACTTCACGTCACAGCGCTGAAACGTATGGTGAAAGTGCGAGGTGGGCTGTTTGCCTTAGGACACAATGATGGGTTGATGCGTGGCATCATATGGTAAGCTCAATGCCACCCATCGCGTAATTTTACCGCTGATCCCTTTGACAGGATGGACTTTCACACTGCAGCAGTTTCTCACGCGCACCCATCTTTCTCACACATAAGTCTGGACCCGGATACGCCTCCTTTGCCAGACGAGCTCATAGAGGAAGCGGCACAAACGTCGCCCACGTCACTGCTCCACCTTTCCTGCGCCGAGGTCGACTGCTTCAAGATATTTCATCAACTCCATCGAATCGCGCTAGCAGTATCGTCGCACTGGGTTGGTCGTGTGGAGCGCCTCACTCTCAGCAATCTCCTCTACGAAACGCAGTTCATGATTCTCTCGGTACCTGATCACTCACACAACTTCCTGCACTTTGACCAGAGCATCCATGACGAGAAAAGCGACTTCTACGATCATCTCAAGGCTAGAGCGGATGCGGCGAGTGTGGTTGAGGCCCTACTTGCAGCAGCCCTCATTTTCGTATATGCGGTACTTCGTGCACTACCATTGAACACGAAGATCTTCGCTATCCTTCTTTCTCGATTACGTGCCGCTCTGGATCGACCGAATGCACCGATACTGGAAATATGGAGACGAGAGAAGAATCTCAACATGTTGCTTTGGGTTCTCGTCGTTGCGTGTTGTGTTGCCACGGGCGAAGAGCGCATGTGGTGGGTCGCGCAGCTATCAGAACTGTGTGGGCAGATGAATGTTAAAAACAGGCAGCATCTTGAGCATGAAATGCGGCATGTCGCGTGGACGGACGTGTTTTTCGACGATCGCATGGACAGTATTTGGGCGGAGGTGATGCGGCTGCGAGGGCCGGCGCTTTGCAGAGGGCCGCTGGCGGGGTTTCTTGCGATCACTGTGGACCCTTCATTGCTCGATAGATGATGTAGAACAAAGAGAGTGAAGCCGTCGAAGGTGAAAACAGAATGTTGAGATGAAGGAGTTCAGCAGACGGACCAATCACGGCAACGCTAATCCGCTTTCAACCCATGTTCGTGAATGTTCCGCCACGTGCATCGGGCAAAGTAGCGCCGACGGCGGCGGGCGCGAAGGCAAAGGGTCTCAATAATCTTCGAGGACTGACGTTCGTCTGGACACGACAACCACAACCATGGCCCCGCTTGTCGACAACCCCCAGATCAAGCAGGCCAGCCTGCACAACCCGCTGCCGCTGCAGCTGCACACGTACATCTGGCCCTTTTTGATAGTGTGGCCCGCCTTCTCCGCCATCTACTTTTCGCCGCAGCGCTACGAGCAGTACATCCAGTCGTCGGAATGGACCTTTGTCTGGGTCGCCAGCATCACCACCTTCCAGTCGCTCTTCTGGCTGATGACGCACTGGAACGTCAACCTCAAGAGCGCCTTCACCACCACCTCGGCCAGCGACGTGCGCTCGGCATCGCTTATCAAAGTCCAGCCCGTCAAGAACGCGGGTGCCGCTGAGATTGTGCCATTGGTGCGCGACAACGTGGGCGGAAAGTCGAACCTCTCCTTCCTCTTCCAGAAGCGCCGTTTCCTCTACGACGCCGAGAAAGGCTCCTTCGCCCCGCTCTCGTACCCGCTCGACATCGAACCCAAGCCCCAGCTTAAGACGTTCCAGCAGACGCAGGGCCTCACCTCGCCCGCCGAGATTGAGCGCCTCACCCAGCACTATGGCGACAACGCGTTCGACATCCCCGTCCCGACCTTCACCGAGTTGTTCAAGGAACACGCCGTCGCGCCCTTCTTCGTCTTCCAGATCTTCTGCGTCGGACTGTGGATGCTGGACGAATACTGGTACTACTCGCTGTTCACGCTGTTCATGCTGGTCGCTTTCGAGAGCACCGTCGTGTGGCAGAGACAGAGGACCCTGAACGAGTTCCGTGGCATGAGCATCAAGCCCTACGAAATTCTGGTGTACAGGCAGAAGAAGTGGCAGGAGATCATGAGCGACAAGCTGCTACCCGGCGATGTCGTTAGCGCAGGCCGGACCAAGGAAGACTCTGGTGTGGCATGCGACATGCTCCTACTCGAGGGCTCCGCGATTGTCAACGAGGCTATGCTTTCCGGAGAGAGCACACCGGTGCTCAAGGAATCCGTACAACTGCGACCTGGCGATGCGCGCATCGAGCCAGAGGGTCTGGACAAGAACTCGTTCCTCTGGGGTGGCACCAAGGTGCTTCAGGTCTCGCACGGCAGCGACGCTGAGGAGGATGGTGGCAACGTCACTAGGCTTTCGTCTGGTGTCCCACCGCCGCCGGACAAGGGCGCTGTTGCTGTTGTTATCAAGACTGGCTTCGAGACTAACCAGGGCAGCCTCGTCAGGACCATGATCTTCGCTACCGAGCGCGTCTCCGCCAACAACGTCGAAGCCCTCTTCTTCATTCTCTTCCTTACCGTCTTCGCCGTCGCTGCCTCGTGGTACGTCTGGCAGGAGGGTGTCAGACTCGACCGCCAGCGTAACAAGCTGCTCCTCGACTGCGTCCTCATCGTCACCAGCGTCGTCCCGCCCGAGCTTCCCATGGAGCTCAGCTTGGCCGTCAACACCTCCCTCGCTGCTCTGAGCAAGTACGCCATCTTCTGTACCGAACCCTTCCGCATTCCCTTCGCTGGGCAGGTCGACGTTGCCTGCTTCGATAAGACCGGTACTCTGACTGGTGAAGACTTGGTCGTGGACGGCATTGCTGGACTATCATTGGGACAAGATGGAGCTACAGTTGCAGCAGATGGCGCGCACACCGATCTCGCAAAGGTTACGGACGTCGCTACTGAGACGACCCTGGTGCTCGCCGCCGCTCACGCCCTGGTCAAACTCGACGATGGTGAGACTGTTGGAGAGCCTATGGAGAAGGCAACCCTTCAGTCTCTCGGCTGGAAACTCGGAGCGAAGGACACACTTCAAGCCACCATGACGACCCCCAAATCCCAAGCCGAACTCGTACACATCCGCCGCCGCTTCCAATTCTCGTCCGCTCTCAAACGCCAGAGCTCCGTTGCTACCGTCATCGTCAACAACACCAAGACTGGCCGCAAGGTCAAGAGCACAATCGCTGCAGTCAAGGGCGCGCCCGAGACTATTCGCAAGATGTTGGTCAACACCCCGCCAAACTACGAGGAGACGTTCAAGCACTTCACCCGCAATGGTGGCCGCGTCCTCGCTCTCGCATACAAGTTCATCTCCGAAGAGGGAGAGTGGGGCCAGAACCGCATCAACGACCTCAAGCGTGAGCAAGTCGAGTCTGACTTGCACTTTGCCGGTTTCCTCGTCCTCCAATGCCCTCTCAAGCCTGACGCTGTCGAGGCTGTCCGTTCCCTCAACGAGTCTAGCCATCGTGTTGTCATGATTACTGGTGACAACCCGTTGACCGCTGTCCATGTCGCTAAGCAGGTTGAGATTGTCGACCGCGACTGCTACATCCTCGACGCACCCGAGAATGACGAATCTGGCGAGAAGCTTGTCTGGCGCAGCGTTGACGACAAGGTCAGCATTCCCGTCGACCCTACAAAGCCTCTGGACGCCGAGATCTTGAAGTCTAAGGATATATGTCTTACCGGATACGCACTCTCGAAGTTCGCTGGCCAGCCAGGATGGAAGCAGATTCTGCGATACACCTGGGTTTACGCTCGTGTCTCGCCAAAGCAGAAGGAGGAAATCCTTCTCGGTCTCAAGGACTGCGGTTACACTACACTCATGGCTGGTGACGGTACCAACGACGTTGGTGCGCTGAAGCAGGCTCACATTGGTGTCGCTCTTCTGAACGGTACTCGCGAGGATCTTGACAAGATTGGCGAGCACTTCCGCAACACTCAGATGAAGAACGTCTACGAGAAGCAGTGCAACCTCATGACCCGCTTCAACCAACCCCAGCCACCTGTTCCGATCATGATCGCGCATCTCTACCCACCTGGTCCCACCAACCCTCACTACGAGAAAGCTATGGAGAACCAAGCGAAGAGGAAGGGTCTACTCCCCGGAGCTAACGGCGTTGCTAACGGATCGGCATCTACTGGTACCCTTGTTCAACAGCAGCCTGGTCAAGTTCAGCCTCCTCAGGCCGCCGCCAACTTCGCTCAGCAAATGCAAGAGAAGATGATGGCACAAGAGATGGAAGAGTTGGCCGGTGAGCCCCCGACCATCAAGCTTGGTGATGCCTCCGTCGCTGCACCATTCACCTCCAAGCTCGCCAACGTCGTTGCCATTCCCAACATCATTCGTCAAGGACGTTGCACACTCGTCGCTACCATCCAGATGTACAAGATTCTTGCTCTCAACTGCTTGATCTCCGCCTACAGTTTGTCAGTCCTCTACCTGGATGGTATCAAGTTCGGTGACGGCCAGGTAACCATTTCCGGTATGATGATGAGCGTGTGCTTCCTGTCTATCTCGCGCGCAAAGACTGTCGAGACGCTGTCCAAAGAACGTCCTCAGCACAACATCTTCAACACATACATCATCGGCTCCGTACTCGGACAGTTCGCTATCCACATCATCACCCTCATCTACGTCAGCCAATACGTCCAGCGCGTTGAGCCCAAGGACCCCAACCCAGATCTAGAGAAGGACTTTGAGCCATCTCTGCTCAACTCTGCAATCTACCTCCTGCAACTCATCCAACAAATCTCTACCTTCGCCATCAACTACCAAGGCCGACCTTTCCGCGAGTCCATCCGCGAGAACAAGGGCATGTACTGGGGTCTCGTCTCCGTCTCCGGTGTCGCCTTCTCCTGCGCCACCGAATTCATCCCCGAACTCAACGAGAAGCTCAAGCTCGTGCCCTTCACCACCGACTTTAAGATTATGATTACGAGCATCATGGCGTTTGACTTCGTTGCCTGCTACATCATTGAGAAGGGTCTGAAG